CATTGGAATCTGGAATATTGAGGTGGAAATACCCCACTATATTCTGAATCACTCCTTTGCTCAGGCCCATGGTCTTCCAACTAAACACTTGTCCCTTAATTTCCCATTTTTTCCCCTCTGCATTGTTTTTCCGGGAAGGTCTTTGGCTCCTTACTTTCCAAAACCTTGTCAAGTACTCTCCTGACTGTCACCAGTCCTCCAGGAATGTCCAAGATGGAGTGTGTACATAATGAAGGCTCAAATCAGGAGCCCTGACATAAATTAGTGTATCTGTTATTATCTTGGCAGTTCTTCAACTCGCATCTTTCCACAAAGTGGGCCTTTAGAAAGGACGCAGTAAAGGAATAATAATAACCAATACTTATTAAGTTATTAATATTTAGATCCACAAACTCTTGTTGCCAAATGTGTTTTGAAATTTAGAATTTTTCAGGTTTTAAAAAGGTAACAGTTGTGCATATGCTATATATTATGAACATCCCGTGTGGAGTATATGTAAGCATCTTATAATCACGTTAATATCTCTGCAGTGAAATCTATGCATGTTCACACCGGAAAGCAAAAAGAGAAGAAAAAACTATAAATAGTTTCATCAGTTCAGGTCAAGTTTTGCCACCAAATAATTAGTGAAAAATCATTTGTTTTTCAAAGTTCTTTAAGTTTTAGAACTGTTATTTGTATTATTATTCCCATTTGATATATTCAAATAAATGAGATGAAATAAATGAGAAAGGGAAGCACAGGGAGACGACATAATGGCCACAGCTAGTTAAGTGGCAGAGCTGTGGTTCGAGCCCAGGCCAGCTGACTCTAGATACTGGACTCTTACCCTCTAGGGCCTTCAAGCTGAAGATGAGAACCAGACAGGTTCTCTAAGAATCCTCTGTTGAGATATCAATACCACTTCAAGTCCTTTTCAGGTAACACCTTAGGAGAATTAAAACCGAGTGAGGCCCTGATCTGGGTCCCCAAAACAAACTTTCTTTTAAATTTCCTTTTCCTTGCTCCCTCAGTTTTTCCCACTCCTCACCACTTCCCTCTCCACCCCTTCATAAGTCATAACACCCAATTCACTACTTGCACTTTCTCCATTCCTTTCTGGAGCATGTATTTCTCTAAATCTAATCCATCTTTCCACTGTATTCTCTATGGATTTAGTTGTTTGCTGCTGATACTTATGGTCAGATACTCTTATTGTCAGATACTCGCCCACTTCTCTGCCTTGTCCTGAGACAGTCATCTCACCTGGAAACTCATCCTTGACTTTGTTGAGTAGCTCGTTTACCCAGTTTGAGGGGTTCTGAAATTATTTAAGATTAAGTTGCATCACTTTGTTTTTTCCACCCATCTTTATGGTACATATTTCTCTGCTTATTTTCTTCAGATTTTTTCCCAAACAAGTAGCTTTAAGTTTTATTTGAATAGAAAATATGCAATTCATCCTTTTTTTTTTGACACATAAATTAAGATGTTACAGCTCCTTTCAGTAGAAGAAGGCGTGATGTAATTATAGCGATTTTATTTTCTCCAAAAGCAAAATCTGAACATGTGATCTTAACACATAACTGATAATCATACAGAAACTTTGAAACTAGAGCTTTCCCAGAAAATTGATGGGTATGGTCACGTCTGTCTGTTCCTTCTATAACAGGAGCATATGATAAGCACACTTTGTGCTAATGACTTTTCTCTTATGTGGCAAACCTCTGAAAGGCTGTGCAAGGCAATTCATGACCTCTTTAGAAAAATCTGCTGATAGGCAACTGGTCCTGCCTGGGCCATCTTGCATTCAATGGCCTATTTCTGCCTAATAGTTCCTCATCTTGTCCATTCATCTGCAGTGCTACCCCGTGGTTCTTACACTTTTGTTCACTTCTTTTTTCTCTAAACCAATGATCTACAACCTTTTTGGCACCAGAGACCAGTGCTTCTATGAGAATTTGATGTCTGATGATCTGAGGTGAAGCTGAGGCAGAAATACCAGCACTAGGCTGCAAATACAGATGAAGCTTCGCTCTCTTGTCCATAGCTCACCTCCTGCTGTGCTGCCCGGTTCCTAGCTTTCCATTCCTAAGTTCCTAACAGGCCACAGACCGGTACTGGTCCATGGCACAGGGGTTGGGGACCTCTGCTCTAAACCATTACAAGTAGTGTTTTCCATGTTTTCTACATTTTCAGGTTCCCTATTAAACTGACATTAAAATTTATTATCTCATCACCATCTTTTCCTTCCTCTCCTCTTTCTTCAGAACTGCTTTAGTATGTGAAGTCACAGACTTCATTTCAAGCCTATTATCTCCCTTCTCTGCAATTTCTGATCCTCCCCTTAATAACCTCTCTTATTTGATCATTCATTGCTACTGGTTCTTCTACATAGTAGGAAAAAATCGTATAGTACAGAGACTTAGGAATCAGACAACTCTGGATTCAAATCTGACTCCATTACTTGCTAGCCAAATAAGCTTGTACAAGAGGCTTAACTTTACAAGTTCAAAGGTCTCTATTTGTGAAATGGAGCTAATAACAGATTAAACTATTTTTAAAACATAAATTTTAAGAAATCATTGGCAAGTGTACAGAAACTAGAAAGCCAAATGTGACACACTAGAGACCCTCTATTTATCACACAGGCTAGGACCTAGAAAGCAAAATCGACTTCTAGGTGGGAGGCAATAGACATAAAAAGTTACAGACGTTCTAGTTCGATCCCCTCATGTCTTACATAAGAAAGGTCCTGGTGTCCATGACTTGCAAACTACAGCTCCTGTCCCCACTGTTTAACTTTGGACTCAAGCATTGTCTAGGACTGGGGATTTCATAATCCAGGCTACCAGCCTTCCCAGCTATAGAGTGATGAAAAGAGCAAGGTAAGAACAATGGAATCAGATTGACCTGGATTTGAATCTAGATTCTACCCATTTCCACCTGGGTGGACATTGAGCAAGATATTTTCACCTCTCTGCACCTCAGTTTTTTAATCTATAAAATGAAAGTAATAGTGCTGACCTCTCAAAGCAGTTGTGAGGATATGAATACTGCAAGTAAAGTGCCTAATACAGCATAGGGCACATGGCACAAACTCAATAAATGGCAGCTCTGGTTAGACCATTCTGAGCTTGGCCTTTATTAGAAACATAGAGTGGGCAGTCAGAAAGAAAAAGCTAGGCCCTGGCTCCAGCCCTCTGGATCCCACCTGCTTCAGACTGCTGTGCTTCTGCCAACCCCCATCTCCACAAAACTGCACCCAAGATGGAGGCCCACACCTCAACCACACCGTGGGGACAGCAAGTAACTTCTCTGATATGGCCTCATTATACCCATGAGGTTCCCAATCACCTTTCTTATATCTGCCGAGGGTGCCTATGTCTCTCTCTCCTCATCCACAGTGAACTGACAAGCCAGGTATAACATTTATTGACTACACACTACTATACGCCACACACAGAGCGGAGAGGGAGACTAAAAACAAGATATGCTTTCTCCTCTCCATGAGGTTACAGAGCAGGAGAAGAAATGGGAGATGCACGTGCAAAGAGTTGTTTCCAATTGAAGAGTCACAACAGAGTTCACGTGTGTGTGTGTGTGTGTGTGTGTGTGTGTGAGAGAGAGAGAGAGAGAGAGAGAGAGAGAGACAGAGAGACAGAGAGACAGAGAGACAGAGAGACAGAGAGAGGCTTCACAGAAGACTAGATGCTTGAGTTGAGCTGAATCATTAAGAATTTATTAGTGAGACCAAGAGATCAATGGTAGAAGATATATTTAAGATTGAGGGAATATGGAGGAATAAAATTACATTTTGAATGTCAGGGTGCTATTTAACAACTAGTGTTTTTCCATGTGTAGTTCAAGGCCCTTATTCATTAGAATTAGCTATGGATCTAGTTTAAAATGTAAATTCCTGAGCACTACAGCCTACAATTCTGATTTGGGGTTAAGATGTGGATTTAGGGCCAAAGGGGTGAGAGTAAGACACATGAGGTAATTTTTATACATATTAAAGATAGAAGAACTCTTTTAGAATGTAAAATCTAAGGCAAAAATGATGGAAAGATAGGTGGGAGTTAAGTCACAGAATGCCTTTTACATTATGTTAAGGAGCTAGATTTCATCTTGTAGGCTAGTGGTCCTCCAAATGTGGTCCCAGGACGTGCAACCGCAGCACTTCCAGAAACTTGTTGAAAATACAAACTCTCAGGCCTGGCAATCTTAACATAACTACTATATAGACAATTGGAGCCACTGAAAGATTTCAAGTATAACAAGGATATGGGCACATCTGCATTTCAAACAAATTACATAGTCTGCACAATAGAAGATAATTTAGAAGAAGCCAGACTGGGAGTGATATCACTAAGGAGGTGACCAGCTATGAAGTCAGAGGGTTTTGATGGTACCATACAGTTTCCAGGAGATTCTTCACCTTGGTTTTCTATTCTCCTGGGTAGGCTGACTTATTTGGCACGAGGCCATCACCCAAAACAAGAGGCTCCTAGAGGATGAAGGAAATGCTTTTCCAGGTGGGGATGCCTATTGCGAAGCTGAAACTAAAGTTTAGGAAACCCTAGGGGAAAGCAAAGATTTCTAGAAACACCCCTGCCTAAGGTAATGGCATCTTCCAATAGATCTAAGACTGCCCTGCAATACGAAGAGCTCAGAAACCCAGCCGTGTCCTCAGCACTAACTCAAACTGCTGCCACCTCTCCTTAGCTCCTAAAGGCCCCAGTGCTCTGTGCCAACACTCTGGCCCCTCTGAAACTCTCTGATTCTGCCTGCTCAGATACTCTAGACAGCCCTCAGCCAGAACAGGTAGTGTGCCCCAGGCGAGGGCAATACTCATTGGGTGTCTCCGCAGGACTTAAGAAGCTTATAAAAGGTGACACTTGCCCTCGTCTCAGAAGAGAGCAAGCTGTCAAGCCTACTCACGCAGACCTTGCTGGCTGGTCTGAGAACTAGAGCCCTGTTTCTGAGCCTCAGACACTGTAGCTCACCTGGGCTTCTAAATACAGTGTCTGTGCCTCTGACCTGGGTATTCTGAAGCCTCAGGAAATCCATTGCCCAACCTTTCTTTTCCTGATTTCCCAGAGCACAGCCATGGAAACATCAGATACCAATACTAAGAAGCTTGAAAAGGATTCTCAAGTGGCTACTCATTGTACATCCTGAAAGATCCATGGACATAGGCCAAAAATTATCCTGCCAGTCAGAACAAGAAATGAGAGGAGAGAACATAGTGACCATCCTATAGTCACTTGGGATTTGAAAAAAAAGAAGTGTTAAATCCAAGTTGCCAGTGGTGCTCAACTGTGGGCAATTTTAGATATATACTTTTGGCAGTGTCTGCAGACATTATAAACAATTACAGCTGGAGTAGGGGAATGGTACTGGCATCTGGTGGGCCAGAGATGCTGCTAAACATTTCACAATGCATAGAAAAGCACTCCCAAACAAAGAATTATCCAGCCCCAAATGTCAACAGTACCGAGGTTGAGAATCTCTGCTCTGGGCAATCTCAGGTTCACAGGAGTCCTTACTGGCCCCAGACTTTCCCAAGGAAGCAGTTAAAGTCCAGATTCAAAGCCTCTGTCATCAGATGTTCTGGCTGAGTGCCCAAAAATCCTAGAGATATGTGAAACCATGATGGAGGCTCCAAAGATGCCCAGAGGAAGCAGGAAGTATAGAGGACATCTCTGACCCTTCCATGATGACCCTTGAATCGGCTAAGAGTTTCCAAACCATCTCTGAATTCAGAGTTACCATGAAAGTCCACAGCTTGTCTTCGCAGAGATGTGTACCTGGAGCTAACATAGGAGTCTTAGAGACTCCCCAGGGTATTCCAGAGACTCCCCAGGGTAAAGCTATTCCTAATGCCCTTTGAAAATGATAATCTAGCTACTAAAGCTCTGTCTAAATATTGCTAACCTCCTCTCTCTGAGAGCCTATTAGAGAAGGGAAGGAGGGGCCAGGCATACCCAAGAGGGATGTCCAAAACACATTTGTAACAAGGAACTCTGTCCTGGGGTGAACTCTGAGAGTTGGCCTTCTAAACAAGCATTCCAGGTGCTTAATTAATTATCTGAGGTGGAGGGCTGGCCCATGTGGAAAGTATACTGTACACCCAAGAATTCTGAAGGTAAAAAGAGCCTCGAAGTCCACACCGACTGATAAACTTCGTGAGTCTTATATGGCTTGTTATAAGCCTTAAGCATTGGGAAACCTGCAACTCTGGTTATTTCAAGTTCTATCATTTTTATTGCTTTATTTGAAAATGGTCTCTAACATTATTTTACGTGTTCTTTTACAAAATGATCAACTGATTGTGGGTGCTCGTTTTTTCGGTAAATGACAAATTTTATATTTCCCTCAAATTTACTATATTCTAAAATATGGTCAGGAAATACAAGGAAATGCTATCTCTCTATTTCCTTGGCCCCATTGCTTTTTTCCACATACTCCTGTCCAATACCTGTGTTGTAGGATTGTTGGGAGGATTACATAAAATAAAGTAGGTAAGAAAGACATCACAATGCCTAGCATACAATAAGGTTCTCGATATGTTAGCTATCCTTACTACCAGCAGGAGCAATAGCACCTGAAATTTCTGAATCCCAGAGTTGCAACTCTGACTCTCCAGAAAGGAAGCAAACCCTTGCCTGACTGCTTTATTTCTCCTGCCTCCATCATTTTCTTCTCCTGACAGTTAAATCTACTTTTGAGTCCAACCAATAGACTTTGGTCATTTTTCAGCCAACTTTGATAAAAACAAGATATACACCAACTGTCTTCAGCCAACTTTCAGCAGGGCTTGAAGTTAACCCACCTTTTCTGGATCCAAGGTCTAGTAGCCCAGCCTACCTGTGAAAGTCGAGCACCCCTCGAAAGTCCTTTACTCTTAGCCAGTCCAGGAATCCAGCGTTCCACGGTCATGTCCAGGTGGATCCAGACACGGCAGTACTTTGGCCTTTCATGACCTGGGTGCCTAATCCTTTGGCCAAATTTCCAAAGAAGGGAATAAATGATTTACAGAGTTGGCAGGACTGAAGGACTGAAGACATGGCAAACTTCAAAAGGAAGCGATTGCAGCCCTTTCTCTCATACTTTCTTACTCCGGACCCCGAAGTCATTCCTGTCTTCCTTAGCACTTTCAATTCAGGGCTGTCATAATCTTCCATTCTGAACAAAGTTTCTTTTGTAGTCTAAAAGAAACTTTACCCCTATACAAAAAAAAATAAAATAAAATTCCCGAGTCTTTCTGGAAATGTAACTAATGTACTACAACAATGCTCCAGTTCATTCCTTTGGTCCGATTGTGTTTTTCATAAAAATGTGAAATAAGATAAAATATTAACACATGCCATTAATATTGGTGTTAGCTATTACTAGTTTGTGATAATATATAACATTAATGACAACACAAAAACATTAAAAACAGCTCTGCTAGCTGCTAATTTTATGACTTCTATTATCATGTAATTAATGTATAGAGTAAAAAAAATATATGGGGTACATCAATTTGGGGTAGAATGAATCAGAAAGGCAGAGAGGCTAGAAAGAGAAAATCTAGTTAGCGGCTGTTGGGAAAATATAAACAATAGATGATGAAAATATGAGTCAAGATTTGTAGTCTGGTATTTGCAATTATCTCTAATGAATACATAACCAACACCCTAAATATTGTCACCTTTCCAAATCTGCAGATTCCCTGGCCTTAGAAGAACATAATTCTTATTTCCCAAGCCCACTCTCTCTCAGTAAGGCAAGTTATTTTGCTATTGATCTCAACACAGAGCTGCCAAAGCAGGCATTTCTCTCTTAATCTTGGCCCAACTTCCTTGCTGCCTGGAGTCCGGAAGGCATACCTGGACAGGGGCAAAGCAGGACGCTCTGCTGTGACCACTCTGGCCACAGCCTCTCACCAGGGAGTAGTCACCTGAGCAGTATTCAAAACCAGGAATCAAGGTGTGGTCTGAGCTCTTTTAAGCTAAAGGTTTGGGGGCTCCTGGTGAGTCCCCAGAGAAGAATCCAGAAGAGGAAGATGAAAGGGGGGTGCTCCACTAGGAGGGGACTCTCACTCTACCTCACTGTCAGCCTTCTGCTTCAAGGTAAGGTGGGCAAAAACAGGGAAGACCAGAGTGTGGTTCTGAAGGACATCTAGAAACTTCCCTCTAGCACTTGAAGGACTTTCAGAATTAATAAGTTAAATATTTCTTCTATAATGTCTGTGTCTTGATTTCTTTTTGGTGACAGGCAGAAAGACATTCCGCTGGTCAGGACAAACAACCTTCCTCTATTCCTAACTGCATAAGAATTTACCAAACTGTCCCATTTCACCACCTCTCCAAATTCCACCTTTTTACTGACCTCCAATGCCCCTTTCCACTCTATCTCTTTTTCCTTTGATATGATATCTATGAGAAGAGTAGCCACTAATTTTAAACATGGTCTAAAAAAGTAAGTAAAAACACCAAGGGAGGGTGGGGATCAGTCTGAGGTAGAAGGAAGTGGAGACTTTGCTTCCACGAGGAGGTATTTGTTCCCAGACCAGGCACATACCTTAAATATTATGGAAAGAGATGGAGATGGAGAAGGTTAGGCAGAGAAAAAGATCACACAAAGATGGAAATGGGCAAAGATTCTGCTCAGGTACTGCCCAGATCGCTCCCTGGCCACAGCTAAGAGACCATACCACATAGGCATCACTACGTGATTGGCATATGATATATGCTCAGTGGTATTGTCTAATGATCCCAATGCTGGAAATAAACTCCTAGATATGAGGTCACTAGATATTTGCCCCTTGATATGGGCAAAATAAATGCATAGCACCAAGGTAAGTACCCATTCAGAATACCTACTACATATTCTTCATACCTACCTAGTAAGTGCAGTGTTTGCTTCTCTTATCTTTTTGATAAATCAGTTCTTACAGAAGTCCCTTAGGAAGGAATGCAGAAGAGAAATACATTAGAGCAGATTTCTAAGTGACCCAGACTACAAGTTTTAGGGCAGTGCTCAGCAGTGCTACTAGGAGAGCCCAAGAGGCTTGCAATGGGTATACCAAAAGGCACCTTGAAGTGGCTGTCATTGCACCAAGGCTGAGTTTGCGTAGAGATTTGTGCAGGTTTTGCATGAGGATGAAACAATAGGAATGAGAATAGAGTACTGACTTGGCTCATCACATTGTCTTCCACCATTTGCCTACCAGACCAGCCCATCCTCTCCGGTCCTAGCAGGAAGAGGTTTTGGCCTTGGGGAGTCTTAGTCCAGGAAGGAGGGTTCCCTTGCACCTCCCAGTATGTCTCCTGTTTTCACTCTCTGCAGAGAGGCTCCAGCTCTGGCAATAGAGACCCTCTCTCAAAGTCTCTGTTCTCTTCAGGAAGAAGTGATGCTTTCACCATCAATTGCTCAGGTTTTGACCAGCATGGGGTGGATCCTGCTGCCTTCCAAGCAGTGTTTGACAGAAAGGCCTTCCGTCCAGTCATCAACTTCAGCATCCCTACACATGTCAACCTCTCCTTCACCCTGTCTGCCATCCTGGAAGTGGTGAGACCTGGTCCCCACTTTCCATGCCTTCTAATAAGGAACAAGAATGTCGACTCAGCATTGTTCTGGTCCAGTGGTAAACAGTGGTACCCTAAATGGATTTCATACAAATAAAGGGTTTTCTTGTGAGATAGGGAGACATAAAGAAAAGGGCTGCAATGATATTTTTTCAGGAAGGATTTGTCCTCGAGTTCTGTCCTTTCTGGAATGCTCCAGAAAGAAGTAGTCTGTCTGTCAATGAAAACCTGACTTGTCCTAGATACAAGAGGAGACAAGTAAGGGAAAAACAGGCCAGCATGTAGAACTATGCCTAGATCAATAAATTAGTAAATATTGATAAGAGTACGAGGTGGGAGAGGGCCAAGTCTTTTTGCACTAGTAATCTCAGATGGGAATTTCTTTGCCAGGATGCACAGCTCCAGCTTCTGACATCATTCTTATGGATTAATTTGGTAAGGCATATTCACCTATCCCATTCTCAGTTCCATTTATAAGTTTTATTTGAAGAGTAACTTAAAGGTTTTGCAACCCAAATCTCTGCCCAATGTATAAATCTTTCTGAGACAAATAAATCCATCTAGAACTGGGCTGGCCCTATGGACACGAATCTCCTTGGGCAGTTTAGGAAGGTAGAAATGCTGACCCCCAAAAAATGGCCAAGTGGTTGCAGGCCAATCTGTTGGTGTGTTCCTGCATCCAAGTGGTATTAGGCTATATTTAAGGTCTCTCTGGGGGGGGAGGGGGGAAGGGCATTGAGGGGTACTTTGTTAATGACACATGGGTAGATAAAGAGGAGGAGATAGGCTGTGGTCATTAGGGACAAAAGTGGAGTTAGAAGATCAGAGTTTACAGAATGGGAAAGGCAGGAGAGGCTGACTGGGCAAGCTAAAGCATCCCTCACCTCTAATTCCCACTGCTCTGCATGCAGATTTGGGACAATCCTTTTATCAGTTGGAACCCAGAAGAATGTGTCAGCATCAATAAACTCACTGTATCAGCTAAAAACCTGTGGCTCCCAGACATCTTCATCACGGAATCGTGCGTATCTGAGCTGGGAAAAGCCCGCATAAAGCCCATCTGCAAAGAACAGCCTTGGGTCAGTGCAGGGCACAGGGACACTGAAAGATTCAGACAGGGGCAAGGTTTCAATTAATCAACTCCAACAAAACACTTTGAGAAATAGAAGAGAAGAGATAGAGTGATATGAAAGAGCCTAAGAGGAAAGCACAGCAAGAAAAGACCTGGGAAGAAAGGGAGACAAAAGTAAATTAAGGCACCCACAGACCCACCTTTTTCCTCTCTCTTACAAGCAGCATGGAAATGAGTCAGGCACCTCCAGATCTCACCGCATATGTCAACAGCGAAGGTCGAATAAGGTATGATAGGCCAGCACAGGTGACCAGTATCTGTAACCTGGACATCTTCTACTTCCCTTTTGACCAACAGAACTGCACCTTCACCTTCAGTTCCTTCCTCTACACAGGTGAGCAAGACACATTTCGGCAGCTATCTAAGATTTAGGGGGAAATATTTAAGTGGTGTAGGTATTATTAGAGAAGAGTTTAGTGTTTCTTAACTCTGGCTGCCCACTAAAGCTTTTTAAAAGTACTAATAACTATGCATCACCCCAGAGAGTTCAATTTAATTGTTCCAGGTGGGACCTAGGCACTGTTAGTTTTCATATTTCATCAGATGTTGCTAATGTGCAGAGTTAAGAACTACTACTTTAATTCCTCAGTAAAATCTAAAACAAAACAAAAAACAGTAAACTACTGTTTTAGGTCTTGGATGACCCTTGCACCAGTTGAGGCCCACCTGACCCTGCAAACCTTCTAACTTTAGTAGCCAACGCACTTAAACCAGTAAATCAATGTAACCGAATGCCACCAGGTGTCATGTGGCAGATTTGGATAAATCGATCATTATAATAGGCATGCATGTAATTATAAAAATGTCGAGCTGTTCAAAACTGATTCCACTGAAACAACACCATACAACTGGGGAATTGAGAAGGAAAATAGGAATGACTCCAAAAGTTCTTGACACATGTCAAGTCATATCTAAAATTCCCATAACAGCTTAGACTCATTCTTGTTTTCAACCAAAAAGATCATACACATATGAACTGCCAGTCCTGTAGCCCACTTCTGAAAAGCAGGATGCCCTACTTTAAAAGGGAAGAAAGGAAAATTTGTTGAAAAAACTTAGTGGGGAAGGAATTGAATTTTGTGGGCAGGAGGCTTGAGAGCACTGTGGACTAAGTCCGGCCTCCTTTGCAGTGGACATCATGGTCCTAGGAATGAACAAGGAAGTATGGGAGATAACAGAAACGTCTCGTCACATCATTCAGACTCAGGGAGAGTGGGAGCTCCTGGGCATTAACAAGGCCACCCCAAAGATGTCGGTGGGCAGCAATGTATATGACCAGATCATGTTCTATGTAAGTCCAGGGGTCACTCCCTGACTTCTGATCCCATTTGCTCTGTGGTTTTCCATTTGATCGAAAGCTCTTTGGGATATAAAAAGAAACTCTAGGGGGTTAAGCACCTGCTCCCCACTCCACCCTCTACCATAATGGCCCTAAAGAAGGATCCCTAGGATCTCTGCCCTACATAGAGAAAGAGCAACTTGACTGTCATAAGAATGGAGCAGCCACCTATCTGATGGTACAAAGGGCCCTATCTGCCTCTAAACATCTACAGTTGTATTCCCAGGAGGTTGGACACAAATGAAAATTAGAGAATAAACTGGAAGCACTTCTGCATGATTAAAAAAATGTGTATGTTACCTAAAGAGATCATCCCATAGCCAACCTAATAGCACATCGACAAGGATTAGACAGTCAAATATACAGTTGGGCCTCTGGCATCAGTTTATTTGTCACATTCTCCACACTCTCCGCTCCCGACCAGGTGACCATCAGGCGCAGGCCCAGACTCTACGTCATAAACCTTCTGGTGCCCAGTAGCTTTCTGGTTGCCATTGATGTCCTCAGCTTCTACCTGCCGGCAGAAAGTGAGACTCGCGCCCCATTCAAGATAACCCTTCTTCTGGGCTATAATGTCTTCCTGCTCGTGATGAATGACTTACTTCCTTCCAGTGGCACCCCTCTCATCGGTATGGCCTCTCCCACTTTCTGGGGAAGCAAAGGCAGCAGAGGACTGGGAGGGGGACCAGGAGAACCGGCGGTCTCTTTTAAGGAGAAAAGGGGTCCTGAGGAAAAATTGATTTGGGGAAGGAAGCTTAAGAAAAGTGTAGAGATGATTCTGCCCTGATTTACTTAAAATTCACTTTACCCTCAGGTGTCTACTTTGCTCTGTGTCTGTCGCTGATGGTGCTCAGCCTGCTGGAGACCATCTTCATCACCTACCTGCTGCACCTGGCCACCACCTGGCCCCCACCCATGCCTCGATGGCTCCACTCCCTGCTTCTACACTGTGCCAGCCCAACAAAATGCTGCCCCACTGTGCCCCAGAAAGGAAATACGGGCCCTGGCCTCACTCCTGCCCACCTGCCTGGTAAGGAAGTCAGCTCCACCCACACTCTCTTTTCTCATGCCTCTGTTTCTCTGCTCCTGCCTCTTCCCTGTTCCCCTCCCTCCCTGGTGACCTTCAAAGTCCATGGCTAGGTTTCTATCTGTCCTTAGGTCTGAAGGAGCCATTTGAGTTGGTGGGGAAGGTGCCAGGTTCCTGAGAGGCAGAGGTAAATGGGTGCCCTGGGCCAACGAGGGCTGGGCAGGGAGATGAGGCTCAGAAGCAGCGCTTGGTCAGCCTGTGGGTGCAGTTCAGCCACGTGATGGACACCCTGCTCTTCCGTCTCTACCTGCTCTTCATGGCTACCTCTATCATCACAGTCATTGTCCTCTGGAACACCTAGGCAGACATCCACACCTACCTCTCCCTGCAAATTGCAACTTCAGCTTCTCCTTGTCTTAAGTCCAGCCAGACCAAGGCTCCTTTCCTAATCTTAGCCACTTACCCCCAGTGACTACCGTGTCCCCTTCTATGTTCCCAAAACTTCAATGCAGCCCTACCAAGCAAGTTCATTATAGCCCTAGACAGTTTCCTGACTTTTCATACGCCATGGTCCTCATTCCTGTACACTTTCAATGTCCCTTAGCCACACCTAACTTCAATAAAGGTCCAGGTCAGCGGAATCTCTCCGTGATTGATTGTTCTAATAAATGACTCTCTAAGAAGTACTGACCCTTCGGTACATTTATGGTAGGTCCACAAACACTGGAGTGGAGAGTCCTCTTGCAGAAGCTTTGATACTTCATCTTAAATAGGTGTAATCTGATTTGATTTTAAGTCTTTCAGACACTTTCAGAGTTTTAAAAGAATAAAAAGGTCAAGTTTCATTTGCAAAACATTCCTTTCATCAACCATTTCCATTTCCCTTTTTTTTTTTAACTTCTCTCATTCTTGAAATTACTCTTTGAAGTAAATATTGTGTCTTTTTTTTTTTTTTCTGAGAGTTTCCTCTGATTTAACAAAATCAAACGAAGAGGGCTTTCTGAATATACATGCTTGGAAAAGGGCCAGGAAGACAGTTAAGGACTTCAGTTAAAGGGTTCAAGTAAATAAATTCTCAAACAGCCACACGATGGAATGCTTTGTAGACATTTAGAGTAAGAATGTAGATCTATATTAATAAACAGGTCTATGATAAATAAAGCAGAGGAAACAAGTTAAAAAAAACACTGTGTATACATAATTTTTTAAAAAAAGAAAAGTAGAGTGCTGGATAGAAATGCTGAGAAAAAGATGTAGATGCCTAGACACCAAAACATGAGCAAACTTTGTCCTGAATAATGGGATTATGAGTGATCGCTATTTTCTTTTAAATCTTTGTTTCCTTAACTATTTTCAAAAACACCATTTTTTTTTTTACTATCAAAAACACCCTTTATCTTAAAAAAAAAAAAAAAAAAGAGAGAGAGAGAGCACTCCCTGTTGATAGTACTTCACACCTTCATCAACAGACATCATCCTGGGGAGGGTTCTAACAGCTCGCTGGAACAAGGCCCTGAGGAGAGACAGGAAGTGATAGCAGAAGTGAGAGAATACCATAGAAAAACATCTGAATTATATTTCAATTAGGTGAATACATTTCAAGGATTTATTTACATTTCTGCCTTCCCTAAGAGAGTGTGCTTTCCTAAAGGTCTGATACACTGTCTCATCCATTTTTATAGCTCAGTGTATGGTATCATGCCTGACATACGGTAGATGCTTGATACAGACTTACTGAATGATTAATGTGTGAAAGAATGCCGGCCAACCAATAATCACTATTTTATTAGCTCTAGGTGTAATCCTTTTATCCCATCCTGGTATGTTTTATTTTATTTTTTCATATATAACATGGAAAATTAGCAGCCCATTTTTGCACGTCAAGGATCTTTGTGTTCTTAGAGACATTAGTTACAGACATTACTGGTGAAGGCATTTCTACTTCAGATTATCTTATGTTTCCATCTTTCCATTACTTGGAACATATTTCTCACTCAGAAACTTGTCCTTGACTTTTGCTAATAATTTAAAATTTTTAACACATCTTTGAGGAATTTCAAATTTCTTAAGATCGCCTTTGCATCATTTTTTCCCTTTCCCATCTCTACATTTATATTTCTCTAGATATTATCTTGCATTTTTTTTCCGCCTTATATAGATGGGACTTCAGGTTTTCTGTGCCAAATTCATTGTAACTGACAATGGCCTTTGCAAAAGAACAACCTGTTCATATGCTAGGGTTGAGGTGAGCCTTGTGATCTAAAATATGTCCTGACAATGAAGCAAAACATCTTAAGCTAGAACTAGCCTAGACATGTTGACAAGAATGTTAAGGGTATTTCACAATTTGGGAGGAGAGCTTCCGGTTTCTGATGTCCTTCTCCCACCAAAAAAAAATTATATATATTATATGTATAGTACATATACACATATATTAGCCCTTTTGATAGTAATCTTATTTCATATTCTTCCATTTTTATTGTAAACCTTTGTTAAGCATGTGCATTGGAAATTTATGGCATCTTCATGAAAACCAAACCATTGACCCTGGATGTACTACTCTCCTCAAATGCTTGATTGTGTGTTTTTGGGGGGTTGTCACTTCTAACTCTTTCCTTTCATTAGCAGTATCCAAGGGTATCCTCACAAACTTCTCACACCTCAGTGTTTGTTTTCTTGTTCTTTAAACAATGTCGAGAAAAAATTTTCCCTACTTATTCTTTTGATACTCCATGTATCTGAGCATTCTTGCTGTATGTTTTGTCTTATCACTGTCTGATTCCTTCCATCTTCTGGAAATTCAGAATATCTACAGACAGCACCATATTTCATACTCATTCCTCTCTTCTTTTATCTCTTTGCTTCTCTCTCTGAAAACCAAGTTCATCTGTCTGCTCTTTCAACACCATTTTCTCCTACCTTTCTGTTACTCCTCTTGTATTTTCCCTTATGCTTTCCCTATACCAACATTTTCCACTATTATTTCTCCTTAATCTTTTTACTAGCTCTTTTGAAAATCTCCCACCCATATCTGGCATTTAGGACAATTGGTCTACAGCATCATCCTTAATAATTCAGATTCAATACCCCTGATACTGATTATTTTACGTATATAGCATAGTTGTAGAAATTTATACAAAATAAGTAACACTTTTTAAATAGATCATTAGGATGTTCCATAACATGTGTGGCTACTTGTTTCAAGGAACCATTAGAAAGTTTTGGAGCTTCTCACTAAGCAAGTAAGAGGATTTATAAAGGTACAATTTAGCAGATGGACAGTAAACCCAATTAGGAAATAAGTCATTCTTCAAGATTCTTCCCTTCAGGGTAATTCAATAATTCTGCCAAGTTATCCGGAGCCAACGTTCTCCACACTCAGGTCTCACTTACTCCCTAGCTACCTGTTCCACCTGTTCTAACATGATCTTCACAAGACACCAAAGAAGCAGTACTTCTATCTGCTTGCCTAGTTCCTACTTCTGACAAAAGCTAAGACCACACCTCTTGCCTGTTTCCTCATACTTGCTTCCTTATCAGGGATCTTGAGGTCACAAACTACTTTCTTTTTACTCTTCTTAGCCTTGCATTTGGAGTTCAGCTTTCACGTATTATTTGAGCCAGTCCAAGACATTAGTCACCCAAAGTCATTTATTTCAATATTCAGTAATTCTTAAGCAATATCTTGAATCATTAACTCAAGCTTTTAACGTTCTTTTGGTTTCATTGAATATTCAATTTAATTTATTATTTTTTTAGCCTTTTAACATTTTGCGTGCAACACACTGCTGGCATACCAAAACCTTACACAACAAAAAAGGGTTTTCATTTTGTCATTTGATTATTTAAATTAAACTTTTTATTGCAATATAAAATGCATAAAGAAAAGTATACAAATTATACATGTACCACTCAATGAATTATTAAAATTGACCACACCTGTATAACACCACCCAGGTAAAGAAATAGACCAACCCTTGGAAAAATCCTTTATGGGGCCCCTCCCAATCATTACTTCCATTCATTCTCTCCAAACATAACTACTAACCTGACTTCTAGATTAGTCTTTGAGTTTTATGTAAATGGAATTACAGTATGTATACTTTTATGTCTGTCTTCTTTTCCTCAATATTATGTTTGTGAGATTTATTCATGTTATATGAATAGTAATAGTTTATTCATATTCATTGTTGTATAGGTTTTCACTTAATTATTTTTAGATTAGTAATTGTAGTCTTATTTATAGAGCTGACTCAAGTTTACTTTAGGTTAAAATCATTGCTTCCTTATTGATATTAAAAAAATGTTGACAGATTGTCTTCGATCATGCATTAAGCTAGAGAAATTGATTTTACTTGCTATCTCCTTTTATATTCTCAGATCAATGTATTTGGGTTTCGTATTGTAAATCCTGTTTGTAACAAGAAAGGGAATGAGTAGGCAAATAAATATAGACATTCAAAGACCAAAAATGTAGCAACGAAAAAACTGCCAGTTTTTAATTTTTACAATATTAATTACTACATTCAGATTACTAATTTACAGATGAAATATATTCTAAATGTTAATTTATGAAATCATGGGTTTAGAAGTCAGAATGTACTTTCTGTAGGAATGTATTTTAAACAACAAGTTTAAAATGTATTTTAAATGTATTTGACAAACAAGTTAGGATATTTTTATGTCTGTCTAACCCACAAGACAGCTGAAATACTATATATATGCAATGAAACAATCAATTAAATATGTTAAAGAAGTTTTTAAAATGCTATGTCAAAACTAGAAATGATACAAGTAATCGATAAAATAAAATAAAAATTGTGAATTCTACTTCTGTAAAAAAAAATGTAACTGAAATCTTAATAGGGATTGCATTGAATCTATAGATGGCTTTGGGTAATATGGACATTTTAACAATATTAATTCTTCCAGTTATGAACATGGGATACCTTCATATTTGTCTTCTTCAATTTTTTTCATCAAAGTCTTATAGTTTTCAGTGTAGAGATTTTTCACCTATTTCATTAAATGTATCCTATGTATTTTATTGTTTTTGATGCTATTGTGAAAGATCATTTTCTTTATTTCTTTTCCAGATAATTCATTGTTAGTGTATAGAAATGCTACTGGTTTTTATATATTAATTTTGTATCCTGAAACCTTACTAAATTTGCTGATTAGATATAACAATTTTTTGGTGGAGTCTTTAGGATTTTCTATATGTAGATTATGTCATCTGAAAATAAAGACAATTTTACTTCTTTCTTTCCAATTCTGATGCCTTTTATTTCTTTTACTTGCCGGATTTCTCTGGCTAGGACCTCCAGTACTATACTGAATAGGAGTGGTGAGTCAGCACCC